ATTTTTATTTTTTTTTTACTTTTCAATTATAATCAAATTTTTATTCCAACATTATTTTAACAACTTTATTTTAACAATAGCAAAACATTTAATTCTTTCAATAATCATTTTTAATTCATTATTATATCTTTTATATATTACTAATTCTCATTATTATATCTTTTATATTTTACTAATTCATTATTATATCTTTCATATAGTACATGTTTGATCTTATCCACTTATACTTTTTTTATCCACAATCACATTTTTATCTTTTTATTCACTATATTTTTGTTTAATTACTTTATTATATGACAATGTTTGTTTATCATCAACTACCGGGCATACAACAATCGTTTTTCAATAATCCTACTTACTAATCACTTCCCTATACTTTTTTTTCACTACCTCTTTCAGCCATTGCTTCGAACGATAGTAGAAACGACAGTACTGCTTGACAATTTTTCTTTTGATTTCGTAATTCAACAAACTCTTTGAAAACACAGTTCCCCAGAAGTACAAGTCTCGACTTTTTGGTCTGAACACGTTTCAAAAGTTTAGTTCAATCATCCGCAGAGCACATCACCAACGCATGCACAAAGCGTTCACATTTTTCAATTTTCAATTTTTTCAGCTCTAGCGGACCACAATCAACCTTTGATTTCAAGTCAAGTCAGACCACCTACTGTCGCTACAACAATTCTACTTATCGCATGGCTCTACCACCCCTTTCAATCATATTAAGTCTTTTTCTTCAACATCTTTTCAACCAATAACCCTACAATTGTGACAAAGCACTGTAACCTTATACAGGATCACAGGTGAAACATTGCCTAGGAAGACGCACAAGTCTATATCCTCGCTTTGCACCTGGACCTAAGTATTTGATTGTCTGTGCAACACTTACAATTGCATATTCTTCAACCCCTAACCCTTTCCAACGCCCGCCAACAATCTTTTAGAACATCATTTTTTATCATCATTATTTTTTAGCAAACAAAGGTTTTATCTACAGTTCTCTTTTATAATGAATATCATAACTTTTAAATTAAACATAAGTTTTATTTTGATAATTTTCAGATATATTCAAATAAACATCTTGTTATAGCCCTTTTTCCCTCACAGTTTTAATTAATTAAAAGAAATTTTAATTACTTACCTGTGTTAGAGAGGCTTTACCCGCTTAAACCCGGATAAACCCTTTCACTCACGGGGCCCATCTATGATAATTTAAACCAACAACCCTATATATTATAATCTTTATAACAAGATTGTCATGTTGTATATAGAACTAATTATAAACTATAACTAATTATACGCATAATTGACGTGTGTCCTTGTATCCCCATATGTAATGTACTGAGGATGACTAAATAAAAATATATAATAGATTAAAAACTGAGTTAAGAGCCAGAGAGAGATTTACAAAGTAACTTCTAAAGATAGATGGAAGCCCAGACTGGTGCCAGAGTCGAGTTGCGGACACGTGCAGAAAGGCAATACTTCCTGGTCCACTTCCTAGTCCCCTTCCTGGTCCAAAAAAGTTGTTTAAATAGGACCCCACGTAGCAACAGCCTTTTTCAGTTCCAGTCAGTTCCCCATCTGCGTGTCGCCGGTTGTCACCAACTCATCGACGATGTAAAACAGTAAGAAACCTTCTCGATCTCCATCTTTGCTCTTGGCTCGCTTTTTATCTATTCAAGGAACTTCCCTTCTACAACGTGTCGCTTCGTTTTTTGTGTGTGTGGACATTCCTAGCTTTTCCACTCTGCCTCGACCACGACTGCCTGTACTTTGTGAGAACTGTTAAAGGTCCTACAAGGTGCAGAGAGGCACTGGAAAACTCTCCACCCCTGACTGTCCCTCGCGGTTACTACAGGTTTGACCCTCGGTTGCCACAACTTATAGCGAGAGTCGACGAGGTTCTACAACAGGCTTACCAAACCCCCAACGTAGTATTACAGAGAGTCGTCAGGAGCTCAACACAATATTACAGATAGTCGACCAGAGCTCCAACACAATAAACTTACAGATAGTCGACAGGATCTCAACATCATTATTACATATATATATAATATAAGTGAAATAACAGTGGTATAAAGCACGGATCCCCCCCCCCCCCCAAAAAAAAAACAGGTTTAGGTTCAAATTCCGGGTGGCAAACATCGTTTATTTCCATTTTAAAAAATGACCTATTTACATATATATTACTGCATCATGTTCATTGCATGGAATTTTTTCTCCGAGTGATTTTTAAATTATATTTTTCAATTAATTTTTATTTTAAATTTTCATCGAAAAGTTTAGTATTCGGCTTTAGTATGGACATTTAAAAATAGTTTTTAAATAGGAAAATCCCTGCGTCTCGAAAATAACTTCATTTAATTAAGAAAAAGGTGCCTCCTGATCATGCAAGTGGAAGTTGCTGATGGTTAGCGCCATCTGTCGGAATAAATATCAACTAATCGATGATTTTCAATTATTTTCTGCAATATTGGAAGAAAACTCTTTCTTGAGTAATCAAGTAATGCCACCTATGTACGCGTTTCAGGCTGCTGGCCCTCGCCAGCCTGGTGCATGCTGTACCTCAATAACCAAAAATGCTGGTCTTTGAGGCATCCTGAAAAATCAAGGAATGAGTAATTGAGGCCGTATGTGTGTGAAAACGCCAAACCCTATGTAAAAAAAACATAGTACAAAAATGGAATTGTACTGGGATTTATCAAGAAATTGGGTTGGCCAAATATCATGGAGCAAGTTAAATAAACGTTTAATTTATTTTTGCTCCACTAGATGGCGCTCTGCCATTCAAAAAGCACATGTGCTCGTGGTCAGGAAATGCCTTCTTTATTTTTAATATCAACACCTGACCCACTTATCTTTTATTTTTTTCTATTGTTTTTCATGTGTTAAGCGTCTTTACGCAAATTTGGCCTTAAAGACCCATTTCTTGATTTCTCAAGAAGCCTCTGGGACCAAAAAACTTTTTGGTCTCAGTGGTTACAGCCTACTCCACGCTGACGAGCGCCAACAGCGCGAAACGCGTTCGTGGATGGCTTTTCTTTATTTATCTAGAAATTGGGTTGGTCAAATATCATGGAGCAAGTTAAATAAACGTTTAGTTTATTTTTGCTCCACTAGATGGCGCTCTGCCATGGTGCTCGTGGTCAGGAAATGCCTTCTTTATTTTTAATATATATTATTGTGTCGAAAAAATAATTTATTATTAAATTTTAATTATTCAATGAAAATATTTAACACAGATAAATACTCTGTATTTGTGAAATCATCATAAATGTTTTATGGCTTAGTTGTTCAATATTCTCTAGCTGTATCCAACATTCCTGAGACATAGGATGCAAACAGCTATCCGGCTTGGACTGACCCACCTCAATCCTACATCTATGGCCAGGCTCAACCTCAGCATGGAACTTCCTGGTCAACTGGTTCCACTCAGCAATCAAAATAGGACGCGAGTAAAAGCGCTCAGCACTAGTCCATACTTGTGAGCTGGACTCCCCGGGTAGTTGGCGTTCTGCGCTCCCTGGGTTATAAATCTCTCTCTCTCTCTCTCTCTCTAGCTGTATATAGTTTTGTTGATAATGGTCGACTAGTCGTACTGACGTCATCAATAAATACTCTCATATCTTAAGATATACTTAGACTCGATTTCTTCGCTCCGATATGATCTAAATATATACAGTATGATCTATATATATCTTATATAAAGAAAAAATATTATTTTCTGTTTGAATTTAGATCATGTTGAGGATTATTGTAATGGTGATGCAGTCGTGGCTATAATAATAATAATAGTCTTGATCAGAGGTTTCTTTAATTGAGCTAAGTGATATATATGAAAAACATAATTTGATTAAAGTACTGCCTGGCTTAAGGCGTAAGAATAAAAAAATGAAAAGCTTATTTACATAATGTACAAATGTTTTGAGCCGACCCACGGGGTCAAACAACAACGAGTTTTTATACGGGAAGAGTGACCTCTGGCGGTCGATTTAGCAGAGTATTTTATCTATGAAATATAATTTTAAATAAAATAATACTCTAATATAACAATTTTAAATGAAATATTTTAATATAACATATATACAGTATTAGTACGTCTCTTGTTCCGGGAAAGATATTAACACCTTCGATATGGCGGGATGTTTGCCATAATCCACGGCCACAGATATTCTACAAATGTCCCATAAGTTCTCCTGCGGTGAAACCCATCAATGGAGAAATACGCTCCAAAGTATCGAACTATCCAAAAATTTCCGAAAAAATTATTTTAAAAAATTACATAAATGCTTCATAATCTAATATCTCTAAACTGAATTCATGAAAATATTAAACATATTTACATACAATTTAATTGTATTATAATTTATACAAAGCAATAACGCGCCATCTATATATATAAAATGAAAGGATTTAGACACGAATGTTTCTTATATACAATACAAACTTCTACTGTCCTTACTGCGATAAAAATATATTAGGAGGGCTTGGCTCATCGGTGGTAAACTCTCCCAGAAGTTTCGCCAATTTAATCTACCAGACCGTTTCTTAGAGCTCTAATACTGTATTGGATGGTTCTGCTTATATACACAGCACTGAATGGTAGAATCTCAGAAATGGTTTTCAGAGAATCCTATGGACATAAGCATATAGGAAAGCAGAAGCAAATATAAATATTTGCATCGAACAATGCTCTTCCGCAAACAATAAGGAGAAGGCCAGTTAGGCATAGCCCTCCTAATATATTTTTCATCGCAGTAAGGACAGTAGAAGTTTGTATTGTATATACAAAAACATTTGTGTTTTAAACCTTTCATTATTATTTATACAATTGGTATATATACAGTATGACAGGCCACACAAGGAAAATATTCTTTGATGGCAAAACACTTCCCAAACTGCACAAAATGTCTGGCTTGTGAGACATCCCCGGAGCACAGTGCTGTGACCAAAACAAACAAGATATCTACAACAGCAAGTCATCAATATACTAGGAGGTCTGTTGGTTTAAGTAATCAACTGGGGGGTCGGTGGAAGGCTGGTTAAACCGTTTGGTTTTCGACCACTACGACCCGGGTTCGATTCCCGCATTGGACACTTTTTTCTGTTAAAAAAAAATGCTTCAATGGCCCCCCGATTCTTGCAAAAGTCCAACCCCACCAGCGAGTGCAAGTAATCAAACGGGGCTCTGGCACATTTGTAAGTGCAAAGTCGAACTGCTTTCACATGTGTAGACATGTGGTGCGCTTACAGTAAAAAAAAGCAGTCGCTAACTACCCACCATGATTATCATGGCCTGTACCACGTGTACTAGGGATAAGAAAAAAAAAAGTAATCAACTGATAGATTAGAAAAAAGAAAACAGTTTGTTATTTATTACATTTTAAGAAAATTGATGTTCTTCATCAACGGTTCTTAATATCCTGTTGACATTCCTTTGGTGTTCTAAATTTATGAAATTATTAGAAAGTGTTATATACAGTAGAACTTCCCTTTAGCGGACACCTCTCCACAAACGACAGTTTTAATTTGCAAAATTAGCATTTTTACAATTTAACAACTCTCCGTTAAGACGACACCTCTCCCTAAAGGACACTTTGGCTCTGCAATTAGGTGTCCTTTACTGGGAGGTTATACTGTATTTAGAAACTCTCCGGTAAGAGGACACCTCGCCTTAAAGGACACTTTGGCTCTGCAATTAGGTGTCCTTTACAGGGAGGTAGTTCTACTGTATTTAGCAACTCTCCGGTAAGAGAACACTTCTCCCTAAAGGACACTTTGGCTCTGCAATTAGGTGTCCTTTACAGGGAGGTTCTACTGTATATATTATCCGCCTAAAAATGGGTATTATAAAAACTAAGTTAGCTCATAATATTTTTAATATTCATTTTTTTTTAAATAAAAAAACGCTACTATCTCTATGGTTATAACTTTTAATTATTTATTTCATTCATATAGATTTAATCTTGTAGATTGCTTTATTTTCAAAAACAAATATAATTTCTATGAAAAAGGCATCTCCTTATCGTGCAACTAAAAGTTGCTGATGACTTGCGCTCTCTATCGGAATAAATATCAACTATTCTCTTTTGTTTTTAATTATTCCAGAATTGGCCAAATCCTCATTCTTGATGAATCAAAAAAACTTACCATTATCAACTTTCAGTTGCTCGATAAGGAGATACCTTTTTCATAATTAATGCACCTTATACCAGTATAATATCACATTTGTACTTTTTTTTTTTTACAAATACACTGCGTGACATTGAAAATGGAACACCAAGAAATAGTGGCCAGAAAATTATGCAAATTTCAGGGTAGACGCGCCTAACCGAGTTATGCAAATGATGTAAAATGCGCAGCTCTCGTGCGCACATGGAGTAAGATATAAGGGAAGGAACTTGCAGAAAGGACAGTATTCGTGTCGTTATTTCTTCAAGGAAAATCATTGTAGAAATTTTGTTCTTGTGTCAAAAGACACGTGTAATAACAGAGAATGCCAGGTCATCGTAAACGGAGGCAGTTCAAGCAGACAGACGCTTTTACGAGGGGCATGGTGATCGGACTGAAAAGGGCAGGTTGGTCCATACGTCAAATCGCAGCTGATACACACCTTGGTGCGTCCACGGTGCACCGACTGTGGAGAAGATGGTTGGAACAAGGAAATGTGGCAATTTATAGGAATGTCGGTGCAACCAGAGTGACGTCAGCACGTGTGGATCGGCGTATCCTTCGACAAGCAGTGGCGGCCCCACAAGCCACTTGTACCGCCATCCTGCAACATGTGCAAGACACCCTAGATCATTCCATCTCGACCAGAACCATTTCCCGTCGATTGGTTGCTAATGGCTTGCACTCATGCCGTCCGCTAAGAAGACTGCCATTGACCCCACCGAATAGGCGCCAACGTTTGGAATGGTGCCGGGCTAGATCGACGTGGATTACGGAATGGCACAGGGTCGTGTTCTCAGATGAGTCGCGTTTCTGCTTGTCCAGTGATAGTCGCCGTGTACGCGTGTGGCGTCGACTTGGAGAAAGGTCCAATCCGGCAGCAATTGTGGAACGCCCCACCGTGCGACAACGTGGAATCATGGTTTGGGGCGCAATCGCGTATGATTCCAGGTCACCTTTACTTCGTATTCAGGGCAATATGACGGCCCAACGATACGTTGATGATGTGCTGCGACCGGTGACACTCCCCTACCTTCAGGGGGTACCCAATGCCCTTTATCAGCAGGATAACGCCCGACCGCACACTGCTCGCATTAGCCAACAAGCTCTGCAAGATGTACAGATGCTTCCCTGGCCACCGTACTCTCCTGATCTCTCACCAATCGAGCACGTCTGGGACATCATTGGACGCCGTTTGCATGCCTTGCCACAGCCGCGTTCAGAAGACGAACTGTGGCAAATGGTTGAGAGGGAATGGAGAGCCATCCCTCAGGACGCCATTCGTACTCTGATTGACTCTCTACCTAGACGTGTTGCTGCGTGCATCGCCGTCAGCGGTGGTCCTACTTGCTACTAAGCCGACGCCGTTCTCGCTCTGTATTATGACTATCATTTTGAAATAAAGATCACTTATTGTTCGTCCCTGTCTGCCGAGTTTCATCACTTTCTGGCCACTATTTCTTGGTGTTCCATTTTCAATGTCACGCAGTGTATAATATTGTTTATTTAAAGAATTACATTAAAACGATCTTTATTTAAAATTTAAAAGTTACAATTTATATTATGAAATTGATTTAATCAAAATTTAAAAAAGATACACAATCAAATCTATATATTTTAAAAAGCTCTATAGATAAATATATAAAACTCTTTCTATATACATATATAAGTAGGTCAAAAGTTATAAAATACCAAAAGACGAAATTTCTATAAATCGTGTTTTTTTAAACAACTATATTTTTACGAAGATAGTTCTATATAAAAAAGGATTTTTTCCATATCTATTTCGATAAACAAAAATACCTGCTGCCATTGGCGCGAGAAATAAAAAAAAAACTTTCGAAATAAACTTTTGCATATATTTGGGTCACTGTATCAGCAGGTTTTTTCAACTTCGAGACAAAATGAAAATGTTTTTGACGTTTTATTTTACAATTTTTATTTAAGAGACTTTATTTAAACTTGGTGAAATATCTCTATTTGGAATGAATAAAAATGGAAGATATATATATTTTACATACGAAATTTATATAGGCACAAAGTATAGAGATTTAAAAGAATTGCTCTGTGTGTGACGCTACGTTATTTTATGTTTGTAATTTATTGTAGAACCTGACCTCAAAGTATGTGTGAGATCTTGTAAAAATTGACTGCTAGCAACAACATGCATTAGCGGAGGTGAGATATGCAAATGATTAGAATTTCAGACGCACATCACGCGCGCCTGTGGCTCCATTTCAAAGCATTACTTAAGGCTTAGAGATTTCTACGATTTCAAGTTTGGCAATTGCATTTTTCTTGTGTTAAAAAAAAACAATTAATTATGCCTGGTAGAAAACAGCGAGCATCTTTTGATCAAGAATCCGAGTTCGACAGAAGAAGGATAATGGCCTACCGAGATTGTGAATTATCTTTCAGGGAAATCGGTAGTCGTGTTGGACGAAACCAAACAACTGTAATGCGGATATGTGATCGTTGGATGCACGAAGGTACGACGGACCGACTTGTTCGATCGCATGGCTCAGTGCACCACTTAACGTTCTGACAGGAAAATTGTGCGCATGGCAGTGACAGATCGCTCAGTTACATCACGAACCGTAGCGCAGCACATTCATTCTGTAACGCATCATCCAGTGTCTGCGCGTACCATTCGACGCCGTTTATAGCAGAGTAGTCTGTCCGCAAGACGTCCATTGCTTCGTCTACCCTTGACGCAGAACCACAGACGTCTCCGCCGCCAATGGTGCGATGAAAGAAGGATGTGGACGGCAGAATGGAATGAAATTGTCTCACTGACGAGTCACGCTTCTGTCTGCAACACCATGATGGTCGGATTCAGGTCTGGAGACACCGTGGAGAGAGGATTCTGAACAGCTGCGTTATGCACCGCCACACTGGTCCTGCACCGGGTATTATACTATGAGGCGGCATTGGATATCACTCTCGCACTCCTCTAGTACGCATTGCCGGTACTTTAGACAGCCAGCGCTTCATCTCCGAGGGGTTGGAGCCAGTTGTCCTTCCTTACCTTCAGGGCTTGCCCACAGGCATATTTCAACAGGATAATGCGCGACCACACGTGGCACGCATTGTCCAAAGGTTCCTCGTCAATCGCCAGATTGAATTGCTTCCCTGGCCGGCTCGCTCTCCGGATCTTTCGCCGATAGAAAACACGTGGTCCATGGTTGCTCAACGATTGGCCCAGATTACATCCCAAGCTGCCAAACTAGATCAACTTTGGGAACGTGTGTAAGCTGCTTGGTCTGCTGTACCCCAAGAACACATCCAAAGCCTCTTTGAATCAATGCCGAGGCGTGTGGCAGCGGTGATCTCAACAATGGCGGCTACTCTGGCTACTGATTCTGGCAGGAACCATACTTCGCAGAAGTCTATAAATTAATTATCTTGTACTTGGTCAACATGTCATCTACAAAATACATTTTATTCTGATATCTCTTGTCTTTCTTGGTGTTACAATTTGGGTGGCCAGCAGTGTATTAAGGGGTACGTTCTAGGGTAGATGGACAATTCATTTTGGAGAAAAAAGAAAACTGATTTTTTAAACTAAGGTAGATAGGATTTCTGATAGCATCTCGTCAAAAAAAAGGACAACTTTGATCACATATCAGTATTTGGCCTTTTGGATACGTACACAGTATCAGTCCTCAAGTCCCATCAAGAAAAGTTGTCTTACTTGAGGGTGATATGTTTGATGTTTCATCAATTTCAACAGATATGTTATTTAATGCTGTCCTATCTGTCATCTATCGTCTGCAGGCGGTGTTTGAGAATGAAGGGCGCCACATTGAGCAAGGATTGTGACCTAATACAAGAGAGAAGGCAGTTACCTCATGTGTTATATAAGCTGCCATGTATTATATTTTCTACCAATATTTTGCAGCTCTTTGTGTTGGGTTATGGGAATA